CCCCAAAACCCCAAAACCCCAAAACCCCAAAACCCCAAACCCCCAAAACCCCAAAACCCCAAAACCCCAGAGCAAATATTTTATACTGAAATGGAAATATCTGGGAGTACAGGTTTTGAAGAGGTAGTGCAAAAGGAGAGTGAGGTTACTTTAACTTCTGAAGAATATGAGGCACTCACTGAGATGATTCAAGATGAAGCAAACTTTGCCATATACTCTTTTAAGGTTATAGAAAGAATGAAGGAAATCATGAATGAAGCCGTGAAGAAAACTTTTATGGAAATAACCAAGCCAAGCATTATTCTACCATGCACTGAAGATCTCGAATATAGGCCTCTTAAAGTTTATGAAGATGGGAGAAAATACTTTGGACAATGGGATAAAATTACCAATCAAAGAGAAGGAATGGGAATATCCATCAATTCCAATGAACAAGTAGCCATGGGTAAATTTACACAAGACGAATTTACTGGGAAAGGTCTCTACATCTACTCAAATGGCTCGTACTACGAAGGAGACCTCAAAAACAGATATGCAGATGGCTTTGGAAAAATTGTATCAGTAAAGGGATATACGTACGAAGGCCAATGGGAAAATGATCAGAGAAACGGCTTTGGAATTTTAAAAACCACTGAAGGAGAAGTGTACGAAGGTAATTTCGTCAATCACTGCAGAGAAGGCTATGGCAAATTTTTAGAAGAGGATGGAGAGTATTATGAAGGAGAGTTTAAAGAGAGCATGAAACATGGATACGGAGTTAGTACTTTGAAAGAAGGAACTGAGATTTTCTGAGAGTTTTCTGAGGATGAGATTAATGGAGTATCTTCAATAATCAAACCTGATGGATCAATGTTTTATGGAGAATGGGACAGAGGCGAAATAATTAATGGAATTTACACTGACCCAAAGGGAAAAGAAATGAAAGTTCCTGATGAAGTTCATCCATTCGAAATATGAGAAATTTTTGAGATTATTCAAATTGTCCATTAAATATATTCAATCTAAATATTTTAGAGCGGGGTTTTGGGGTTTTGGGGTTTTGGGG